ACAAGCCCTGGGGCGGAGGGTGATGCTGGACAACTTCTGCATGAACGAGCATGAGGGGAGAAGGAAAACCCTGGGATGAGATTTCTTTGCTCACAGCCTGAGTCAAAGAGCAGCAAATAGGTTAAGAAACTGGACAAGAAAAAAAGCTCTTTTTTTCTTTATTCAAGTGGATATTCAGAGTTGGAATGACCTTTGCTTTTTACTTCTGTCTTGTTCCAGGTGCCTCTCCTGCCCCTTCACGACTCTCCATTTCCCAGGAGGTTCACTCTGGCAGCAGCGTCCGGGTCTGGTCTGATTACCTCAATGTGCGCTTGCATCCCAAGAGCATCTATGTCATCCGTCAGTACATGCACAATTCGTACGTCCTAGAGGTTTGGTTCAGAATCTGTTCTCCAGAATAGGATCTTAGTTTTGTCTTCAAGGAAAATTTAAAAGGGGACAGTATAGGCTTCTTTTTCCCATTTTTTTCCTCAGGGATTGTGATTGTCTAGAAGCCTTTGGACAAGGCGAGCGTCTTCTGGAGGATCCCGGCTGCCTTGAGGAGCTGGAAGATCGGTTGCACTTCTATGTTGAAGAGTGTGATTATCTGCAGGTTGGACAGCTTAGCTTAAACTCCCTTTTCTTTCAGGAAACTTTCTGTTCCACATGAACTAGAATCTCAGATACTGCCATCATTTTACAGGGATTTCAAGTTCTCTGTGACTTACACAATGGATTCTCAGGAGTTGGTGCCAAGGTGACAGAACTGCTCCATGATGAGTATTCGGGAAAAGGAATCCTGACCTGGGGCTTGACTCCAGTCATGAGTAATGAGGGAGTAAGTAAACAATGGGAAGAAACAAGAACGGGTGATGCTTTCACACCCAATCTGGATTAGACCATTTCTTGTTTGCATCTTCAGGATTCCAACAGTTGGGTTTTTTTCCCCCCAGGGATCTCAGAAGAATTTGTACAGACTGATGAACATAGCCCTGGGAATTGTCCATCTCTCCAGCCACAGCTCGCTCTTTTGCCCCCTGTCACTCAGCGGGAGTCTAGGAATCAAGCCACAACCTCCTGTTACGTTTCCGTACATAAACTACGATGTACGTTCTGTGTTGGTGTAGAAACATCCCCTCCCTTGCCTGGCTGTCAGCTTTTTCAGATTTACCACTCAGAGTTTTCTGCAGCGATCCAGTGTTCGCAATGTTTTTTCATGATGGTGTTCTGCTTAAGCAGAAAAGATTTTTTTTCCTGCTTCTTCACTGGTAGCAGAGACTTCACCACCAGCTTTTTATTCTCATAGTTTTTCCACTCTTAAAAATACTAACACATTTCCCTTTTTTGCAGTCTGTGTACTGCCTTTAGTTTCAGCACTGAAAAAAAGAACCAAACCTTTACTGCATTATTCTTCATGGGTCAAGTATGTAACTTGTGCCTTGTCTGAGCACTGAGAAACTGCTGACAAGAAAACTGGCAACAGACTGTTAACAAACTGCTGACTGTTAACCAAAATCTGAAATAACTGTTAAACACAACCTATACAAATGCACAATTTACAATATGCCTGTTAAATATACAAAAAAAAATTAGTTAAGGAACAGATGAGTTTAACTTCTGTAGCTCTTCCATTTGTCTCCCTCCACAGGCATCACTTAACTACCACAGTAGTGCAATTTTGGCAGCAGTGCTTGATACCCTGACGGCTCCTTACCGGCTCTGTTCCTCCCAGGGCTCGATGATGCACCTTGCTGACACACTCAACTTCTCTGGGAGAAAGGTAAGAGCAGAGAGAAGAGCGACTGCAAATCATAGAATGATCAAATGTTGTGAACTGGACCCACAAGGATGATGGAGTCCAACTCCTGTCCCTGCACAGGACAATCCCAACATTCACACCATGTCCCTTGCTGGAATCTTGTCAGGCTTGGTGCCATGAGCACCTCCCTGGGGAGCCTGTTCCAGTGCTCCACCACCCTCTGCCTCAAGAACCTTTTCCTCATGGCCAACCTCACCCTCCCCTGCCACATCTTCCTGCCATTCCCTCTGCTCCTGGCATTCGTTGGTGGCCAGAGAGAAGAGATCAGCGCCTGCCCCTCCTCTGCCCCTTGGGAGGAAGTTCTAGACCCCCATGAGATCTCCTCTCAGTCTCCTCTTCTCCAGGCTGAACAAACCAAGTGCCTTCAGCCTCTCCTCACACCCTTCCCCAATGCTGTGTCCCTCCTCTGGACACTCTCCAGCAGCTTTAGATCCTTTTTCTCCTGTGGTGCCCAAAACTGCACACAAGGAAATCCTTTCAGCTCTCCCTGAACTACTGCTCTAGGCAAGAGCTGCTGTTCTACTCCACATCCACACATGTAGGGTATGGGGAGTGTGTGTTAGATAGTGATTTATCACCCTCTCTGACTCACAGGTTGTGGCTGCCTGGGCTTCCGTTCCCTTTCCTGCCCTACATGGCTACTCGCTCCCCGATACTTTATGTGCCTACCAGCAGGACGTGCCCTGGAAGCTTCTGTCTTCGTGTAAAAAATAGGGAGCAAAAAGTCAGCTGCTGTTTTGCTCAGTCAGTTGTGCTACGAGGAATTTGCAAAGAAAGTCACATCAGGTAATCAGTGTTGCAATTGCATGTTTCCCTTCAGAGCTCTGGTACTCTCACAGCAATGACTTACCAAAGTAATTCACAATCATTCTATCCTAGTAGTGTCAGCTGAAGGGGTAAAATAGAAAGTCTTGTGATCTAGCTGGTTAGATGCTACCGACTGCAGAGCAAAAGAACTAAAACCAGCTGAGCCGCTGATGGTTTTGGTCAAGTCCCCTGGAAAACCATGCAGCGGTTTGTTGTTTTGGTTTTTTTTTGCAGCAGCTGTCCAGGAAAGCAGCCCCCTTCTCCACTCCACACTTGTGAGAGCACTGAAGAGATTCTGCAGTGTTATTTACACACTGTGTTTCCTGGGGCATTCAGGTTGGTAACGGTCTTGAACGGGGAACACTAACTGGGATCTGAAAGTAGAGAGTTTTGGGTAACTTTATTAACTTTCTTCCTTACAGCACATCCCATGTGCTGGAGCAGCCATGTCATACCCTACCTCCATACCCCCAGTTTTTTTCTCCTCTTCTAACCAGACAAGGCTTCCTCCTGGACAAACCTCCCAGCTACTCCTCAGCAGGTAACAAGTGCCTCTTAAACTGACTTTGCAACAGAAAGAAATCACGGGGGGGAGTAGAGGCTAACAGAGGTAAAAGAGAATTATAAAAAAAAAAACCCCCAAAACAAAAAAACCAAACTACTTCTGAGTATTTGTAGGGCAAAAATTGAGTGCTGGGCAACTCTTACACTACGCTGAATTCAAGTAAAACAACTGCTTGTAAAGTAGAATAGGGCAGGAAACAAATTTTGATTGGTATATTTAAACACAGATGTTTTTCCCTGCAGCTGTTGAAAGCATCCCTGTCCTGGCAGCCTTGCAGTCTTCACCAATTCTGCACAGGCTCCTCTACAGCTTGTACAAGGATCTACAGAAGATGAACACGCGGCGGTGGGCCAGCTTCTTCTCCAATGGAGTTGAACAGGATGATTTCCAGGAGGCCTTACAGGAGCTCAGAACTCTGTCCCAGTGCTACGAAACGGGGTTTGAAGCAGATGAATCTGAAGATGAAACAGATTCAGACTAACTCGCCTTTATTACTAGAGACAGTGGAAGTAATAATACCTTTAAGCTCACTTTCAAAATAAAGGGAATGGCTTCAAAGATGGCCAGCTGCTTCTTTCTTTTCATTTCAGGAAACTCCTGTTACAAAGCCTGGCTGGCTGAAGTTGTCCAGCTACTTACAGTTGTTGTAAAGGAGGAAAGCTGCTTTTTGGGGGGGCTGGTTTTGTATGTTTGGTTTTTTGAAAAACTTTGCAAAGTGAAGTTGCTCTGCCTCTCCAAGTAAGACCACACAATAAATACAGAATTCAGGTTCTAACTTTCCCACGTACAATCAACACAAGGGGAAAACGTACAAAAAAAAAAAATCATGTGTTTGTTCCACATGAAAACAGACATTTTATGTACAATATTTACATGTTCTTTTCAAAGGGTGGTGGCCGAGTCTTCACCACGGAGTGAGGTCAGTGTCCACAAGCATCACTTCTGTCATTTCATTGTTGAAGGTCCCCATGTAGGTTCTAGAGGATGTTCTCACCACCTTTCTTCATTCCTTTAGTTTGATACAGACTGAGAAGTGTAGCAGGAAAGTGAACAAAACAAAAAAAGGTGCCATCTAGAGTACCTGTGCAAACGTTTGTCCTTTACCCACAACACCTGTAGCAGCAAACTGTCAAATAACTTTCTGATGCAGTCAGTAGCTTATCAAGCCAGAAAAAACCTTAGTCATCAGGTTCTTCCTCAGAAAGCAGAAGATCTTTATCTGACAACTGGTCTGTGTTACTGGTACTAGTTGCATCCTCCTCATCTTCAGAGCTCCCATCGCAGGATGTATGAAACAGCCTCATCAGTTCTCTGAACCTGTGGGACACCTGAAGAACAAGGGAAATCCAAGATGACTAGTGACCGCAGAGGTGATACGAAATGGGAAATTTTGTATTGGGAAGTTCAGGGTGTTCTGTGCTTTTAGGTTAAAAAGAAAAAAAACAAAACCACACAATCACATTTTATGCAAGAGTCAATCATAAAGGGAAAAAAAAAAATCACAGAATCATTATGGTTGAGAAAGACCTCTAAGATCATCAAGTCCAACCATTAGCCCAACACCCCCATGTCCACCCAACCATGTCCTGAAGTGCCATGTCTACATGTTTTTAGAGCACTGGGTTGTTTTGTTTTCTTTGGAAGAGCAGTTCTATTCTACTGACTTGCAGGTACAAAACTGGCGGTTTGGGAAGATTCCAAGGCAGTGACCTGGGGAATGTTAAGAGACAAACCCCGACAGATTAATTGCATTGAAGACTCCAGTAGCAGTCACTGAAACAATTCTGGTACCAAATACGAGGCCAGAATATCCATGGTAGTGTTGCAAAAAGGACCATGGCAGTCATGATTTTTGGCTCCATCAGAACAGATCAGGCTTGGTTGGTTTTTGGGTTTTTCTTTTTTTTTTTTTTT